ACTATGCTGGCAACTGTGCTGAGGGTGACAACACTCACAGGAGAGATGGCGCCTCAGACCTGCACCTTCACCAGGTGAACCATTTGGCAGAAAGAAAGATTCTCTCCTCCTACTCCTGATAGGTAAACAAGTGCAATAATCTGTACCAAAAAATATTTTAACCTTGCAAAAATGAAATGTCAGACATTTTTACAAATATAATTTCCTTACAGGGCTATATTTATTTAGATTGCTTTGACTACCATTAGAGCATTATGCAGACATAAGATTTTAATCATCTTTCCTGATAATGACTAAGTTTAAATGCCCCATACATACTAACTGAGGCTTTGGTTCTATAAAAATATTTTTTGGAGGGTGCATTTTGCACAGAATTCCACAGAACCGTATTCCTGCACCTCACCCGGGGTTTCTGATTATATTCATTGAGCATGGATAGTGATGATGTTTAGTGGCAATTGTATATTTCTCTTTATTTCTAACTTTTGAGCTGGACACAGCAAACATAACATAGCACCTACTCCTGCATGTCTAGGCCTAAACAAACTGGTTACGTAAAGATAAATCTTGTTCTACTTCTCCCTTCTAAATATTCACTTTTAATTATCCATAGAGCACCCTTTTCACCCACTCAGTCTAATTCCCAGAAGTCAAGGTCCCCTATGGAAGCCCATCTCCTAGGCTGACAACCTCCCTCGCCACCAACCTGCTCCTATAAAACCTCATGAAGTTCAGAAATCTATTCTTTGACATCATTGCTCCTTTCTGTTTTATACTGGGTAATCTCAGATTATTTCTACCCTAAACTAAGCAAGCCCTTTAGCTTAACAAGTACATCATCATCTTTGTCCCCCCAATTTTTTTTTATTTTAAAACAAAAACTTGACTACTATTTGCTGAGTGCTTTGTAGGGACCACCCTGTACTTATGTAAGGGTATTACCTGCATATTTCATTTCATCAAAAATTTCTCTGAAACATAGACAGAACACTCTGACATAAATTTCAGCAATATTTTTTTTCAAACCAGATCCTAGAGTAATGGAAATAAAAGCAAAAATAAACAAATGGGACCTAATTGAACTTATAATCTTTTGCACATCTAAGGCTGAAAAGACAAACCTACATATTTGCAAATGATGTGACCAACAAGGGACTAATTTCCAAAATATACAAACAGCTCATAGAGTTTAATATAAAAAAAATGCAATCCAATCAAAAAATGGGCAGAAGACCTAAATAGACATTTCTCCAAAGAAGACATCCAGATGGTCAACAGGCACATGAAAAGATGCTCAATATCAGAAATTATGAGAGAAATGCAAATCAAAACTACTATAGTATCACCTCACACCAGTAAAAATGGCTGTCATTAAAAGTCTACAAGTGGGGAGGGTGTAGTTCAAGTGGTAGAGTGCATGCTTAGTATGCACAAGGTTCTAGGTTTAATCCTCAGTATCTCCTCTAAAAATAAATAGACCTAACTGCCTCCCTTCACCAAAAAATAAAAATAAAATATTTATTTTTTAAAAAGTCTACAAATGACAGATGCTGGAGAGGGTGTGGAGAAAAAGTAACCCTCCTATGCTGTTGGTGGGAATGTAAATTGGTGCAGCCACTATCGAGGACAGTATGGAATTTCCTTAGAAAACTAAAAATAGACTTATCATGTGATCCAGGAATCCCACTCCTGGGCACATATTGGGAGAAAATTATAATTCAAAAAGACACATGCACCTCAATGTTCATAGGAGCACTATTTACAGTAGTCAAGACAGGGAAACAACCTAAATGTCCATTGACAGATGAGTGGATAAAGAAGACGTGGTATACACACACACACACAGACACACAATGGGATATTACTCAGCCATAAAAAATAAAATAATGCCATTTGCAGCAACATGAATGGACCTAGAGATTATCATATTAAGTGAATTAAGTCAGACACAGAAAGACAAATAACATAATAAGATGTCACTTATAGGTGGAATCTAAAAAAAAGATACAAATTTTATTTACAAACCAGAAATAGACTCACTGACATAGAAAACAAACTGTGGTTACCAGGGGGTGGGGGGAAAGGATAGATTAGGAGTTTGCAATTAATAGATACATGTTACTATACATAAAGTAGATAAACAACAAGGACCTACTGTATAGCATAGGGAACTATATTCAATTTCTTATAATGAGCTGTAATGGACAATAATCTGAAAAAAAAATGTATCTGTATGTAAAAACAAATAAAGAGAAAGCCAGGTGAGCAGGAGGGGAATTCTCTGAAATTGGAAATAGTAATAGTTTCATTTTTACAAATGAGGAAACTGAGCCCAAACAACTTATATAAAGTGTCCAAGATCACAGCCTTAATGAGATGCAGAATTCAAAGCTCCATGACTAATTCCAGAGCCCTGGCTTAACCAGTATACTGCACCTGTTAAAATACATGTCTTGACATAATAACTAAATGTCATGTGTGACCCTTGATTGGGTGGGAGATGGGGGGATTGTGGGGAGTGGGGGAAGCAGCAAAAAAGACATCTGGGGGACAATTTTGAAAATTCTTTTACCATGGATTTGTAAATATGTAATTACTATTAGTTTTCTTATGATAATAATTTTGTAGTTAAGTAGGAAAATGTCCTTATTTTTAGGCAATGAAGTTTCATTATGTCCTCAACCTTTCAGATGATTCAGTTAAAAAAATGTGTGACATGCACACAAGGGCGCACCCTCACATGGAACAACTGTTGGCATAATATTAACAACTGTTGAATCAATGTGGATGTTCATTCTACTAGTCTTTCTGTTGCTGGTAGATGTAACTGGTGTTCCACGTTCTTTCCCATCCCAGAAAGAATTTAGAGACAAGACACAGTTGTTAACAAAAGTAAAGCGAGGATTTATTAAAGGATGGATAGTGCACACCCAAGGGGAAAGCAGGCAGGTGAGCAGCTTCCCTGAGATTCTTTGGCAAGCTGGTTACATAGAGTGTAAAAGTGAACGGGCAGAATATTCATTAGGGAAGGAAGGGTTTGGGATCATATTTCCTGATTTTTATCCCAACTTCACCCTTCCAAAGAGAGGAGGGATTTTTGTCCTTATTTAGTCTGGATCAGAAGTGTCATATGATAAATCACAGAGAAAAAAATGTGACAATGAGTGTGTATATGTCCATGAATGACTGAAAAATTGTGCTGAACACTGGAATTTGACACGACATTGTAAAATGATTATAAATCAATAAAAAAATGTTAAAAAAAAAGAAGTGTCATGGCATCAGTGAATGATGGGTACTTCTTATCTGCAAGGCTAATTTTATTGTAATGAGCAGAAGGGTACATTTGGACACCTGCCTTTTCTCACCTTTCTTTGCTGGCCTCCAGGCTGCGTATCACCCCCAAAGGTGTGACCACTTATCAGTCCAGAGGTTCCTGCGTTTCTTTCTCTGCTTAGGGACCCCTCGTGCTTACATGGTGCATAGTTTCCTGCATTTGGCCTGTGTCTCTCTTTCTGCCCAATTCCTGCCGTTTGGTCTGTGTCCTCTCCTTTCTCTGTTCATAACTAGCTATCTGCCTGCTCTAACATTTCTACATTTCCGTAGGTTTGAAAATTTTAAAAAGAAATTGTTGAGGGGAAATGCATGTTTAGACAAGGCTCTTAAGAAATAATTCATATAACCTCAGGAGATTTTAAAGATTTAAAAATTTCATGAGATTTTAAAGATCAGGTGGAGTCTTACAGCATCTTCTCTTTTGCTGGTATTTAAGCGATTTTATTTCACCAACGGTACGAACAAGATTACACCATACACAATGTACAAATACGCATTAAAAGTATGGAAGTGTATGTATTCATATATTCTAGTACCAGCATTACCTATGGGGATTAGTATTAACAGAAAATTTTACTTACATTTTCACAACGATCATGTATTTTCAGAAAATGTTATAAAAATGTAGTTCCATTTTTTAAAAGTCCTAAACATTTCTTATTGCCTCATGTCCCACTGGTGAAATCTGTAAATACGTCATAGAAATTAGTCTTTCTTCTGTTCGTGTTTTGAGCGATAAATGGGAACCTAGGATTCTATCGCTGATTCTATGCATGGGGCAGTGCTGCAAACAAAAATTAAGTAAGACGGAGAAAAGTTAATGTTTTACAAAGCAGCAAGTGGCTACTAAAAATATTTCAGTTCTTGGACTTGGAACGCATCCTTTAGTGCCAAAATCTCCGCCAACCTGGAACGCATGGGAGGTAGCGGGGTCTTCCAGAAACACAGGCGGTCCTAACCGCAGCGGAGGCCTCAGGCTGGTCTTCAGGAAGAGGCACGCCCCTTCCGCATAGACCAATCGGGAGCGAGGTTTCGGAGCCGCCCCCTCTGCATCGGCTAATAGGAAGCGAGGCGGCGGGGCCAGGAAGGCCTCGGGCCGCGGAGCCCGCCCTCTGCGCCTCGGCTAATCGGGAGGGAGGGGCAGCCCCGGGGCGGGTCCCGGAAGGCGGCGCGAGGCGCATGTGCGGATGCCGGGCTGCC